TCTTACTGACCTAAAACTTGTAAAAAATAAAAAAAATAAAAATGTTCACAAAAGGTGAAAGCTGAATCTATTGAGCAGAACTTGAAAAGCTCAGGTAAGGCCATGAGCAAAAAAAGTTTAAATTGTTCACCTTTCAGGTGCAGTGACTTCACAGCATGGCCAATTCCTGGAAACAAAACCAAGCATGCGGTGTATTTCGTCTCTGACCTCAATCTCCTGCAGTTATCCGAGAGGGAAGTTGAAGCTAAAGGTGTGAGAGAGTCTGATTTTTTTTTTATACCTATATTACCTCTAGAACTGGAAGTATTGAATGGCCCTGCTTGACCACAAAAACAACAACAGCCAACAAACAAACCCAGATGCATTCACAAGCCTGACTCATGTGCGCTGGCGGCATGCGGCGCATTGTGATTTTACCCCCCAGGCTGCACACTATACAATCCGTGTTACATTAGCATTTGAATGTGTGCCATTTTCACCTACAGTCCAAACAAAAAATGCTCTGTACATCAGGCTTGTCTCATTCAGTCAGAGTTCCGATTTAACAAGCATGACATATGCCTCTATTTACAGTTGCACAAAAAAAAGCAAAAGTCCCAAATACAAACAAGACAGCGTCTGCCTAGACCGCAACACATCAACATTCTGCAACGTAAGCTCTATGATGCTATCAGTCACTGCTGATGTGCTTACGGTGACCTGAGGAGTTTGTCATGTACTATGTGGCACTGCCAAAAAGCTTTATCGCTCTGCAGCAACCAAACGTCTTCTTGTGTTGTTAATGCATGTGGCTACAGTGAGCTGACCTCGAACAATTATCTCTGACGATCTCCTCTGAGATTTAGATTCAGGTCAAGAGTTTTTAAATGCTCCTGCTGGTAGATGTAGATGATGTAGACCTCTGCCATCAATTAGAAATACTGACTCAGCCAATTCAAAAGTAAAGAGAAAACTTGAATATAAATAAGAAATTGTAAAAGTGTTCCAGGGTGAGAAGAGAAGACCTTAATTTTTATAGTATTTACTGAATTTAATGAAAAACTGATTAACTACATTTGCAGTTTGCATACTACATGTTGACATTGTTATTTTGGTCAAATTGTAAGGAAACATTGCAACTTGTTTTGAGAGCAAGTCCATAATGCACAATGAAAAATAAAAATGCATCCAAGATGCATCCAATTTGGTGGACGAAAATAGAGAAACAGGCTTGGTACGCCTGCAACACCGCCATAGTGTGCAGACATGCACCAGCCTGACCTGCCGCCGTATATGCTTTCCCAACCAGGCTGGATGTTAGTCTTACTGGCCTGGTGGGATGGACGGATGGAACAATAGGACTGACGGATGGACGGATGGAACAATAGGACTGACGGATGGACGGATGGAACAATAGGACTGACGGATGGACGGATGGAACAATAGGACTGACGGATGGACGGATGGAACAATAGGACTGACGGATGGACGGATGGAACAATAGGACTGTAGGACGGACGGATGGAACAATAAGACTGACGGATGGACGGATGGAACAATAGGACTGACGGATGGAACAATAGGACTGACGGATGGACGGACGGATGGAACAATAGGTCTGACGGATGGACGGACGGATGGAACAATAGGTCTGATGGATGGATGGATGGAACAATAGGACTGATGGATGGATGGATGGACCAATAGGACGGATGGACGGAGGGAACAATAGGACGGATGGATGGATGAAACAATAGGACTGATGGACGGATGGAACAATAGGACGGATGGATGGATGAAACAATAGGACTGATGGAACAATTGGATGGACGGACAGATGGATGGATGGAAGATTCAGATTCTACATTAATAAATACAATACAGCAAATCATATATGAGGGAAAGAGGCGAGATTAGAGGGTGGAACAGTGAAAAAAGAGGTTTAATGTTCCTTATTAAAACTAAAAGGTTTTCTAGGACGATGGTGGACCAGGAGCATTAAAGATGAGATGAGGGAATAAGAATCACCGCATGAAACACCGCTGAGGGGTGAGCTGCTTAAAAGTGAGGCTTATTGGGCACAATTACTAGAGGAACCCGATAGTGTTTCTCTGTGTGTCGGCACATTTTCCAGAGAGAGATATTGGCTTGTTACTTGATTTTAATATCTCTGCTATCTTTCACCCACAGGGCCACATTAGATTACAGCTCATGAAAGAATAACGAGGTAGAACCACAACCAACACAAAATCAAATGAGACACTGAGGTGATGCGATGCATTGGTGCTGCATACAACATCTACAACTCGTTATATTGGATTAAAACACTTCAATTCTATTTACCGTCACACCTCATAAAGATCCTTCAGTCTCAAGCATATTTTAAATGGAGGAAATGCACAACAAACGCTTTTCAAATTCATTTACTTAAGCAGGAAAAAAAACAATAAGAGAACAAAGTCCTTTGGGCCACATGCCACATTTTTCAGTGTTTTTATCATTCAGTGAATAGACGGAGCAGCACAACTGAAACATCCACTGACAAGATCATTAAGTTTGCCTCGCGACTAGTGCAAATATTGGCTTTGTCCCAAATTGCACACTATCCATCATAAACGCAAGTTTAAATTTAGTACATCCCAAATCAAAGTATGTTTAAAACGGTGTTTAAAGGATTTCAAAGGCACATCAAAAGCATAGTTTTGGGTTAATATACCAATAATTATACTACACAAGAGGACAACCTTGATTTCTTTCTCTTTTTTCCAGTAAAAAAATGTCAAGGAATACTAATTCAAAAAATGCTACTACAGCAGTTCTTCCATGTATGAACCTATGAACATTTTATATGGAAGCTTGTTTCTGCAATGGAATAAAAAATAGGCCTAGTAATTAAAAAAAAAAAAGTGATTTTATCTCATGATTCAGACTTTTTTTCTTACAATTCTGATTATCTCACAATTAACACTTTTTTACTGAATTGCAAGATATATCTTTATAGCTTGCAATTCTGGCAATATATCTTGCAATTCAGAATAACAGTTGTAAGTCAAGATTGTGAGATAAATTCAAAACTGCAAGAAAAAAAAAGTTAAAATTCTAAAGTTTATATCTTCATATTAGTTTTATCTCACAATTCTGGCTTTTTTGTTGTAATAATAATAAATTTATTTTTTATTATTTTATTATTTCCATAATTTTATGGGTTAGATTTAATGCAGTGAGTGCCATAAAACTGTTTACTCTCAGCATAGATTGATATGCAATATCTCTCCTCTACCTGAGAAAAGATTTCATCCAAAGTTTAGACACGGACCTGACACTGACAAAGTCACCATTTCCTTTTCATCAATGAACCGCAAGAAACTCCACACTCTCTCGGCTATTTGATGATCAAAGTGTGTTAGCAGGAGTCCTGCTAAACCCCCTTCACACCCCCCCCTGAGTTTTGCATATTAAACCACTGAGAAACCTGATGTACCTGGAGGCGCTAGATTTCAGTGGCTGCCGCTGCTTTAGACTTTAATGGGAGGATTTGAGTGGAATTTAAAAGAGTGAAGGGTCACCTTTACATGGGTAAATTGAGAAACTTTACCAGCCATGAATAAATTTTTACCAGCTACATGGAACTGTATTTAGCATTGTTTTTCTTGCTTTCTGCGTTTCATGTTCTATCTCTTTCCTCTTGCTCCCTTCATTTCTCACTTATTTTAATTACTACATAAAGTGACATTACTCTTACTAATGACCTCTTCATTTGACTGTATGTGTATTAGTAAGAAGGATGATGGTGTTTGAGTCAGATGTTGTAGAAATAACATAACCCACAATTCTGTGCTTATGCTGAATTGCAATCATGTGATGCCTTGGTTTAATGCCCTTGTAATGGTTAATAAATCAAACGAACATATAATTAGACATGACAGGCACTCTTAAAAAAAAGAAAGATGTTTTGCATAGATCATAAATGATCACAAATGCATGCTATACAGATCATTTAAGGGTGGTCTGGCTATCCCATACGGCAAAAAGTAAGTTTTCAAATGTGTATATATTTCAAAATTTACAAAACATTCTAAATATTCAAAAATATACAATATTTAAAAATATATAATAAAAATACAAATGTGTTTCAATCCAAGAAAATACATTCACTTGTCACATTTGAATAAAAACTTTATTTGTTGTCTATAATGTGTGTAAATAAATACACTCTAGTAGGTTAATCCATTCACATATCTAGCCTAAATGTAGGCTACTGTAAGACTGGAAATGTATTTTGCTGTATGGAATGAGAGTTAAAAGTAAATATATATTTCAGTTTAAAAATATATGGCATTGTGCTTGACTGTTTACAACATATATTTAAAATATATTTTGGCAAGCATTTTTTTAAAAATGTTTTTTGCCATATGGGATATAATGTAGGGAACACCAGGAACCAAATTAAGATATCAAGGTGTCAAAATTTGGTTATAGTCTTAATAGCCAGAATTTAACTTGCGGCATGAAGTCTGTCCCTCAATTACGGCCTAGAATTACCCACTTAGACAGAAAGAGATGATCTAAAGGAGATTCTACCAACAATAATAGACCAGCACAGATTTTTATATATATATTTATTTACATATTCATGCAGCAATATCTATGGAAACACTGTAAAAATAGTGAAAATGTTTGTAGACTTTGTACTCCAAATGTATGCCTGTACAAATAGCCAGGACTATTTCCCAGACAAAACAAAGCACTGCTTTTAATGATCTAGTTAAAACGACGTTTTTTTTCTCTCTTCATTTTTGCATTTCACTTCTGTTCCAGTTTGTGTGCTAATCTATCTTATGCTTAAACGCGGCATTGTGTATTTTAAGTCTTATGATAAAAAGCTTACAAAGTTTCTCATTTGTACGTCACTTTGGATAAAAGCATCTGCTAAATGAATACATGCAGATGTAGTTTACTTACTGATAAGTGCTTCAAACAGAACTCTTTCAAAAGACTGTCAAAGACTGGATGACACTAACCTTGCAAACTTTGGCAGATTTGTTTTTCCTCAGTGCTCACTGTATCATCCTGGTAGCATCTTAACATGACTTTGTTCCCAGCTGGCGATCAGACTGGATGTGGTGATTTCTGTCATGCATGCTTGCTTTTTTGTGTGTAATGTGCATTAAACGGTCAGTAAACAAACTGAGAGCTGCATGCTCTCGTCTTTGCTCATGGGCCTTCAGTTTGGACAAGGATCTTTTAGCCAACTCTGAGACTGACCTGAGTCATAAATGCCATGTGACTAATCACTTTTTAGTCACAGGAAAATGACATCATGACGAAGCTGATTGGCTGATGGCACCACAGGCCTAAACCCTTCACTAGTGATCATGAGCTGTTATGTCAAAGACAACAGACCGGGAAAAATATCAAACTATTTCATGCTTTTAAGAGCCTACAAAAAAAGAATGGCCACTAGAATGTTGTCATCACTAATTAAAACTATTAAAAATCATTCAGATTATTTGACTGAAATAAAGCTAAAATAATACAAATTTTAGATTTAAAAAAGTACAATGGTTTGATAAAGAAATGGTCACTTGTACAGTTGTTTAACTATAATATAATACTAAATATTATAATGTAAAATTAAACCATGATCATAATACAATGCTGTTATCTAAAATGAAATGAAATGAAATTAAATTAAATTAAAAATTAGAAATGTTGCCTTGGCACCTAACTGAAATAAGTTGAAGTAGTCAAATTAAAATAAAATTAAATAGAAATATTTTTAAAAATAATAAAAATGACAAGAGCACATAACAAAATTACTAAAATGAACATAAAAATAAAAGCTAATTTAGGTTAGGTTATTATAGTTAAATTACACAAAAATTTATGTTTAATTTGATGTACTAAAAAAAAGGAAAAATTTAAACCAAAATTGAACAAATAATATAAGACTATAAGACATAAAAAACTAAGAAACACACAGCAAAATAATAAAACCTTAATTAGAAGGAAAACGGAAAATGTAAAAAAAAAAAACGAATTAAAAATATTAATTAAAAACTATAATAATAACAGTAAAATAAAATAAAAATTATTATAGTATCTCAGTGAAACTAAAATATCACTGATTCAAAATATATACAATAAATAGCATACAAATAATACTAAAATAGCACTGCATTCATGCAATGTTTCAACAGAAAGAGGCGAAAATAAATAAAACAGCTGCAGGAGGACAGCATATCATAGACAAACCATCACCCTTGATGACTCCCTTGGGCACAAAGGTTTACACATCTTCATTTTTGTATATGCACTCATTTTCTGAATGGAAGAGCATTGTACAGAAACATTTACTCAGCCGTTGTGCCATTTCACTGCTGTAATTTGAGGCATTTTTCAGATGACTGAAGTGTCAAAGGCAACCATTACAGATGAACCCTTTTTGTAAATGATGTTTGCGTACCTTGATGCAGTACTTCTAGTTACTCATTTCCTGTGTTGTTTGCTTTTTCAGCCAATTTCTCAGTCGCCGCACTGATTCATCTTGTTAGATGAATTAGCATGACAGCATCCAGAAATCTGGAACATCTTATCTTGAGCAACAGTAAAAGCTTCGAAAATGCTTTTCGATTTACAGAAGTCCTCACGAGCGCGTCTACTTAATCGACCTCGTGACATCAAATACATCACCGGTAATTATTTGTTAGCCTAAACAGGATTGATGTACGGCTCACTTGATTGTATTTCATTGAGGCTTTCATCATTAGGACAATTAAACTTAACATGACAACCAACTAGCGAGCACATCTGAATTTGAATTTGATTTCCTTTTTAATGGTATCTTAGGCTATACTGAACAATATTTCTGAAATTCATACATCATTGACCACTTCCGTTCATATTAGTCATCCAGATGAAACAGTACTGAACAGAACATCTAGTTCCATCCAGCAGGCTTTTGAATCATGCATAATGAATTTACTAAACACATAAATAAAAACCGCTTCCTATGCAATTCTGTATTAGACCACTTCAATTTCTTTGCTTAGATATTCAGAGGTCAGAGGTCAAAGATCGAGATGCAGCCCACAGATTAGTTCCTTAGGTATCGTCAATCTTTTTCATTCTTTATTTGTACAGAGAAATGTATACAATAATAATCACAGGAATTTAGGACAATGCGTCCACTGCTTATTCATGTAAAACACTCACATATATTTCTGCATTCTTCTGCTAAACTGGCTACATTTGCCATTATGAACAAAGTTTCGTATTTTTCTACACTGTATAGATTTTACAGTGGACAAAGTAATAATAAATGAAAACTTTAGGATTTAGATTCACATTCGTGCATTTGAAAGACACTTTTATCCAAAGTGACTTATATAGATTGAAGGCGTAAAACAGTTGCATTCCCTAGGAATCGAATCCATGATTTAAAATGTATTGTATTTAGAGGGTATTGTAGTCAAATCTGTGATCTGCTGTCACTCATATGCAGATAATTTTTCATCCCCTGTTGTCCTCTCACATCACATACAGTATTTGTTTAGATCTGTTTTGGCCCCTTGTTCCACTGGCAAATGGTGCTTAATCTGTGCGTATTTCTCTCCTGATTCAAATAAAACAACTTTTTTACTGGAGAAAGCAATATTATGGATAGAGGATTCGTATTTTAGCTGAAAGCAATGGTTTGAAATTAAAATATCTTTATGATGGATTTGTTTCTTACAAACACACATCTTTTAGCTTCACAAAACATTAACTGCTGGACTGGAGTGGTGTGGGTTACTTGTGTGTTATTGTGATGTTTTTATCAGCTGTTTGGACTCTCATTCTGACGGCACCCATTCACTGCAGAGCATCCATTGCTGAGCAAGTGATGTAATGCTATTTCTCCAAATCTGTTCGAGGAAGAAACAAACTCATTTACCTATTGGATGAATTGAGCATGAGTAAATTTTCAGCAAATTTTCATATTTGTGTGAACTATATCTTCATTGCCATACATACTGGCTCATGAAACAATAGCCTAGTCATGATTGGACATTTCTAGAAAGGAAATTTAGAGTTGACCTCTTGGTGCTTTAATTGATAACCCTGATCTACTGTAGGCTGTATGAGCTTCTCATGAGCAGATCTTATTGTTAAACTCGTTTTAGCATCTCATCACACCTGTACGGTCAAAGGCCAGAAACCTAATCAGTGTAACAGCAGCTCTTTTAATTTAGCTGCCATCCCCACTTTATGTCTAAATGAGAATTTGGCCAAGCTAATTAAGGTGACTTATCTGAGTTATTATGCATATATTCATATCATAACCAATAAGCCTGTGCTACCAGTGGGACAAATTCATAATCCAATACAGTGGCACAGATATCAGTCAATTATTTGTAAAGAATCAGTCAAAAAATACTCATGAATCGATCATAAGTTATCCACTTACAGTATATCAAACGACTCACGTACTGAATAATCAGAGCAGTTCTCCGTATCAGTTACAAAATATTATTACTTGCCTATAAGGCCCTTAATGGGTTAGCTCCTGCGTACCTAACTAGTCTTGTACCACGCTACAATCCATCACGCTCCCTAAGGTCGCAAAACAATGGAAGATATATAATTTATTCAATTCATTGTTTTCAAATTAGCATTCCATTATTTAATATAACGGCAGATGTTTTTTGTTTTGCCATTGTTTATTCACAAAATACCATAAAAATGATTTGCTATTACCACATTAAATAGAACATAAATAGTCTTCAAAATGCTGCTTTTTATTTTAAATTTTATAGTTTTATAAAATGATATCTTATCATTTTATATTTAGATAAAGATGGAGTTTTGATACCAGAGTATATTATTTTTGTCTCACTCACTGTTGCACATTATTATTATTCTTTAGTTTGGGTTAAACAAATCAATTTTGCTTGGTTGGAACAGCAGCTACGCTAATTATGTCTCTATTTGTTTCTCTGTTTTTGCCACGGGGATTTACACAAGCTTCAGTCTGGATCTAGAACACCTGAGAAGAGATGATGCCAACCCCTCAGAGGACCTCAGATGATGCCAACCCTGAAACAAGATACAGAACTACCACATTTTGCTATTTTGCACATTTAATTATTTTATAATTGCTGTTAATAGTGTTCATCGTCTTTTTTATTACGTCTTAAATTGATTTTTCCGTACATTTCTGCCATATGTACATTAACTGACAGTCACCACTGATAAGCTACCACTAAATATTGTAGAAACTTAATTTGCTGTAAAGTTGCTTTGCAATGATTTGTATCGTGAAAAGCGCTGTACAAATAAACTTGACTTGACTTGACTTCTTGACTCGTTGATCTGAAAGTCATTATGTATGTCCAACTTGAATTTTACTGAAAACCAATACTAGTTTACTGTAATGTGCATTAAGTCATCATGAAATCAAGACTGAACCCATTTATTTTCTTAAAGGAATAGTTCACCCAAAAATTTTAATTTGCTGAAAATGCTGATAAAAACATCACAATAACACCAGTTAGTGTCTTGTGAAGTGAAAATCTGCATGTTTGTAAGAAACACATCCATCAAGACAATTTTGACTTCAAATCATAGCTAAAATACAAGTCCTATATCCATAATATTGCTTTCTTCAGTGAAAAAGTCTTTTTTTTTTTTTTTTTTTTACAAACATGCAGCTTTTCACTTCACAAGATGTTAACTGATGGACTGGAGCGGTGTGGATTACTTGTGGATTACTGTGATTTTTTTTTTATTAGCTGTTTGGACTCTCATTCTGACGGCACCCATTCACTGCAGAGCATCCATTGCTGAGCAACTGATGCAATGCTACATTTCTCCAAATCTGTTCTGAAGAAGAAATAAACTCATTTCCATCTCGGATGGCCTGAGGATGAGAAAATTGAGCAAATGTTCATTTTTTGGGGGAGAACTATTCCTTTAAATAATCTGCCATTTTGTTCCCTTACCAAACTGCCAAAACTTTTGTAAAAAGACATTTATAATTGGGCTGCTAAAGACAACTGCTTCAGTTGGAAATGTTTTTTGCTCATAATTGAATGGCATGTCAGAGTTGTACAGTTTTGTACTTTGGTCAAGAGCAGCAAGAATCCAGCAGCAGCAATGTAATGAAGCTGAGAGTCGGGCTGCGTTTGACACGGTCACTGCTTTAGCATGTGATGAATCTGTCCAGCAGTGATAAGGATTTATATACTGTAATATGCCAGTCCCTGAGATACGCTCCAGTGGGACTGTAAATGGATATATAGATATGGATAAAGTCGGGCTTAGTGGAAAACAAAGAACAGA